CTGACAGCGCACCCTGTAACCCCTCAGTCAGAGGTATGGACACGTGGTTATTCTTTCTGAGCACCGTGAAAGAAAGGCAGTACACGGTAATGCCCACCAGTAGGGCAGGAGCTCTGGGACAGAAGACAGAAAGCTCCATCTGACATGCCCTCTGTTACAGCTTTCCTATAAGATGTGACAGCTCTCACACCCAGCAACGATGTGTTCTTCAAAGAGCTTTCTAACAGACCAGGACTCCACCACCTGCAGACTGGGTTACTCTATTAGCCACGTGGGTGATGCCCAAAACTTACAGTCATCAACAGAATTAAATCTTTAAATTGTCTCCTGCTCTTTGGACAAAGCCAAACCGTTCAGGTTCCTGGCCTGATTTAGGTGTGTGTGGCACACACACAGGCCACCAGATTTGGACATCAGCACATCCAGGCATGTCGATGCAGGTGGAAATTCATTCCTCTGAGGCTCAAGTGCAATCCCTTCCCCATCCCTTGAGCAACTCAGATAGCTGAACACTGATTTTGTTGAGTAGATCACCTCTTCAGCCAGTAGTGCCATGAATATGCGTGTGCTTCTCTTATTCTGTTTATTTCTAATGAATCACCAAACACCTACTTAGGTCACGCTAGATTCCTGCTTGTGCATTACCTACGTGAAACACAAGCGAGAAGCTGTTTGACTACGCAGCTTTTTTTCTGAAATCTTTTGAGGTGCTACCTCATGTAACATTCAAAATTATTTATTTAAGATTCTGAAAAATTCAGTGACCAGCTTGTATAATCTTTTTTTTTTTTTTTTACTCCAGGTTGAACGCTCACTTTAAAGGAGGCTAAAAATAATCCTCTAATTAATATATAAAAATTAATATATCCCTTGAGTTTCCATGGTAGTTTCAGCTTTTTCTTTCCACTCACCTGTGAAAATGAGTTTTTACTCCAAACAACTACACATAATTTCTGCTACTATACATACTGTGTATATCTACATATCTTGATTTTTTTTTTTTTTTTTTCCATAAATGAACCCTTATTAGGTTCAACAGCACTTCTGGAGGTAGTAGTATAATTATATTATTTCCAGGAAAAACTCATTCAACATCCTCTTGAGGCCAGCAGACAGTCCCTCTATTCAAGTCCTACTTTGCAGACCACTGTCAGTGGTCATGAGAGTCACAACATGTGATGGGCATGTGAGGCACACATGACATGCAGCTGGCACAGGGAAACAAACAGATACTTTACACTTCTTTGATCCTTTTTGCCATTTTACAATATGGACACTAAATCAGAAACTTATTTTTACCAGAACTGTATTTCACACACGTGGAGATGGTAAACATGATAAATTAGAGCACTAGGATGGTAAATTATCATTCCCTCCACCAGTCACATCCTTCTGCCCATCTAAGACCTGAAAATGCCAAATGACTCACTATCTCTGCAGATGCCCAGGGCTAGACAAGACAAGATTCACTGTTGGTCTCCTTGTTCCACATGAAAAATGTCTTTACTTTTAAGGCCAATTACCTGGAGGACTTTTTATTATCACTGAAATTTCTTTCCTTTATCATCCTCTCATCTTCCGAAAAGGGGGATGCACAAGAAGATATTTGGTTTTATTCTGAGAAATTATGTCCCTTTATGTAAAACAAATTTTCTGAAATGCATTTACATAGAATTTTATTACATATGTGACTGCACTGATTCTGGTCACTAAGAGCTTGATAAAAATAAAATAACTACTGTTATATTAGGACCTTCTCCACAATATCTCACTGATAGATAATAAACTTCAGTAGAAGTTTTAAAGGCATTCCACTACAGAGCTTTCCTTCTACAAACATCAAACCCCATGACTGTCTTGGAAATGAAAGACCAATTTAAAAATGCACTTCAAAATAAATATCCTCAATTGTGCTTCCTAGTGCATTTATCAACAGGACTGCATTCACGCTGGTAATCTTAGTTGTGGGGAATGACTAATCAAAGTAACAAGAGCATCATCCATCACAATGTGTCATTTTGAACTTTTGTTGTCATAATTTAGTGTTTATGCAAACAATCGCATAGAACAAGAAGCCTGTGACAAGGCAGCCACTCCAATGCACTGTTGTGATTTGTCAACATACTAATATAACCTCTGTGAAAAAAAAAAAAGATCCATTAGGCACAACTCCATAAGGTTCAGCACAAATACTTTTTTTCATATGTTTTGCATAGAGCTTCTCCATTCAGCAGAGAATTTAAGAACCTAGTTTGTGATGAAGCACATCGTGTCACCCAACCCATCCAGCTCATGTATTTTTTTTTTTCTGTTGAACAAAAATGTGGGTAATGAAAATAAAGAGAGACAAAGCTGTATCATGGTCACCCAGGAACCTGCAACCATTCCTTAGTCTAAAAGTAAAAAGTAAATGAATAGTGCATTTCAGGGTTAGATTTATCAGAAGTTCCATTTCCCTGAATAATTTTAATACCTGATATTTATGGAACCCACAAACTGCATCACATTGCTAAGAAAAATCATTAGTACTGTGGAAGAAAAATTTTACCCTGATGAATTCAGTGAAATAATACAGTACTAGCATTTCACATGAAAGGTCATTAGTATCTTCAGGAAAGCAACCACAAAAAGCCTTGCAACTATACCCTGAAGAGACAGAAGTTTTAATCAGTGATACAGGCACATTTATCCAATTTTTTTTTTTCTTCTAAGCTTAAAATACACAGGAATCTGTGGCATTAAAAACAGCAAAAAGGCTGCGGAAATGTACAAAGTTAAAATGTTTTGTTGTTCTTTGTAAAAGTTTATGGAATTTCCTGCCCCAAATTATTTTACTCAAGTTGTGAGGATGCACGTATAGGTTATTGATTAATTTCTCAACCTTCCACCCTCCAGCTCCTTGTGTGTTTTGCACAGCTATGGAGCCTGGGGATCCTGGGGCTGTTAAAAGATTTTGAGAAACAGTTCCAGTGGAGAACCGTGGTAAAGTAAAGTAACAAACAAACAAAAACATCCATTGAGGATTATTACATTGATGTGTAATTTAAAGATCTTTAAGGCATGGCAGTGGTAGAGCTCAATATCTCCATAAAAATTCTGCCTATAAATGTAAGACTAGATTCTCATCTAATATCCAATGTCTAACAGCTCAAAAAATCCACCATGTATTTCTAAGGAAATAAATACATTTAATTTTTTAAAAAAGCAATTTACACTTAAGCAAGTGTAAATAAAAAGTCTCACCAAAAGGAAACATAAGACATCACAAAATAAATTTGATCAGGTCTATACAAGAGTTTATGATTTCAAACTCATGTTACTTGTAGACTCACTAGTTAAAATTTAGTTCTATCTGAGTATTAGAGATATGAGATTCTCTGACAGAAAATAAACTGTAACGTTTCTGAAAAGACCAACTAGTTACACCTCATAACAACTCTAATTATGCAAAGGTTGAGGGCCAAATCCATCTCTGATTATGTCAGCAGAATAAAGGCAGAACCTGTGGAATCATAGCTGTATGGTATGAAACCATTTAATACGATATTTTTATAGAAAATAAAATAGCTTTAAAATTCTATTGACATAATATACAGCTTTACACTTAAGTTATCCAAGTGTGTGCAGAGCTGCCAAAACATTCAAATAGAAGTTGTATAAAAAGGGAAAATTGTCATTCAGAAAAGGAATTTAGCGATCTGTACAAAGCAATGTTCTTTCCCTTCAACTTGCTCTTCTTTAGGTTTCATTTTATGTGTTAAATTTAAAAATTAGTCAACACACTGATTTAAGTATGTAGATTTTCATTTAAATAAATCAGTCAACAATTTTTTTATAAAGTATTTAACACTTCATTGTAGAAACATAGGCAAAATGACTATTATAACCAAAATGAAAAATACTGTTCAATTTAAAAAAATGTACTTAAACAAGAACCTGAAAAAGTTTATGATATGCATAACATTGTTCAAGCAAAATTGCACTAGTATTACATAAATCAAGAGTTTTATAAAGGCCCCAATATGGCAAAGTTTAGAAATAGGTAGTATGCATGCACAATATTACAACAAAAATCTTTTATAAAACAGCAGTTATTTTTGTAATGCTTGTACAAAGGGAATAAAGAGCAACCACAAACATATTTAATCTGTTAGGTTAATATATTATGATAGCTAAAAGTCAGTCATGTCTAGCAGAGGAAGGAAGAGTCCTCCACAGTATAGGTGTGAATAAGTCTTTTGTGCCTTTAAAGTTATGTATAAAATATTTCAATTCAGTTCAAACCTGAAAGAAATTGTATTCTTTATTTCCATCAAAATTAAAAAAGGTGAGTCAGATTTTTCCTCTTAGCAACAACAGAAAGCAGACCAGGTCAGAGCAAGTGCTGGAAACTCATACTGATGCTTTTCACTTTCGATAACTGGATTTTGATATTTAACCCAGACTACTGAAACTCGGGCTTAGGTAAGGTTTCACTAATATGCAAATTGGTTATGTTTCACCTCAGTTTATCTTCACGTACAGAAACTGCTGTGTTTTGTATTCTTCAGTAACTCTAAACAGGTATGACTTTTTTTTGTGATTGTCAAAACTGAATGCTGTCATCATCTGTGTGTGCTTAAGGTTTGGGATTTGGTTTTTTCCCTACTGCTTGGTATGTGTTGGGGAATTATGAATCCATAAGTAATGCATGTGATTAAGTGAATAAACATATAATGCATGTGTAGGCAATGCCCTCTTGTGCTCTAGGGTGGCTACTGTCCTACAGGACTCTTGGAGTTCATACGCTTTGTCCCACAGCAAGTAAGGTTTCAGCTTCCAAGATATATCGTTACTATGTTCTATAAGGTTTTAATAAATACAAAGCTTGTTTACATGGTATATATGTTTAGTATATCATGTACAGTCACTGAATTTCTGAAACATAATCATTGTGTTCATGCAGATCATTAGATGTTTCATTTCTATAGTCTTGTTTACTTCTTGGCAACCTAAAGCTAATTTAAAAGCAACTTATGTTTGTTTGTGAAAAGTTATCTAGCTTTATCAGGATCTGAAGAGAAATTCTAATGGGCACAAAGAAGAGAGTAGACCATTCAATCATTCTTTCACCATTTAAAATAAACAAAATTACACACTGTACTACAGCTTCCAGACTACATAATGAAAAAGTGCAGATACCATCTTCATTGATTAAGTAGAACCAAAAAAGTTCATAGAAAATAGATTGCTCATTTTCACGCTACAAACGAATATGTTGTTCGCAATTTTAACAAATTTAAAGGTGTGTTATTTCAGCAGCATTGTTGTAAATTGTACCGTAGTGCAGTTTCTTTTTCATAAAAATACCTTACAAATGGTCAGTCAAAAGTCATCAGCAAAAGAAAAACCCAGAAAACAATCAACCAAACAAAAAACAGAGGTAATGCTGATGCCAAAACAATTATAATACTGTTGGTACATAGAAAAGTAATCCTTATATTTTATACATTTATACAGAGTATAAAAGGTAACAGCAGATTATGCCACAGTCTCCCTTATCCCAATATCTATTTTCTTTGGAAGGAGTTCTCTTCTTTCATCAACACTTGCTAAGGAGTTTCGACAGTTTTGTCCATCCATGTATAACTTTGCATATACTGGATTGGCGTAATTTGTTGGCTGCAGAGAAATTAAACATACATTAGATCAGTTGGATTAAATCAAAATAAACGTTTATGGAAATGGAAATGGTCTTGTTAAAGCAAGAACAAGTACACACAAAATATAATTGGACATATTTAATAGATACCTGGACTTCTGCAAACCTGATGAGTTAATTATTTAGTTAAAAATTAAATTTGTGATGATACATGCTATTAAAATAATCAATGACATGACATGCAGCATATTATGATATTAAAACCATAGAAACAATGGCAAAAATTAAAATAAAAACCTTGAAAAATGTCTCTGAAGTTGACTTGTCCACCTTATTACACTGGAAGGTTTCAGAATAGGTATGAAGAAGTTTATAGAGAAGGTGCACTGTGAGACCATGTGACAAGTTTAACAGTAGAAAACTGCAACCAACAGTTTCCATATATTACCTGTTCTAAGACATCAGCATCCCATCAATAGCTGACCATGTTTTCGAATTCTGTGGCCCAAATATACAACATGATTTGACCAAAAATTCAGTACTTTTGTAATGTAAATTAAACTTTAATAATAAACCAGCATAACTGTTCATATATCATAGTAGTTACAGATTGAGAAGTATTTTCTCAACAATTTTAGTAGTTTGGACAGTAATGAAAAAAAATCTACTGAAATGAGTGGTACTTCAGGACAAGTCCATTTTTAATCTGCAAAGCAGAAAGCTGTCTGACAGCATAGAAGGACGTATAACATGGATGAAAAGTTATATGTCTCCTATCACTCATGCTAAGGAGAAAGCACTATCCAAGGGTTATCATGTAAACGTCTCCACTAATTCCTTCATTGTTTGTGCCTTTTTTGCCTCCTAGAAGACACCTGCTATCCAACTAGGTTTTCAGCTTTTTACCTATAATAACCACAAAGGGTACCTTGTGGATAAAATCTTCCTTTTCTTTAATAACTAATGAAACAGCACAGCTTTGCTTACACAAACACTGAGTGGAACATCAGTAAGTTACCAAATAAGTAAATTAATTTGTGTACGTCAGAAGTGGATAACCTTTAAACTACCCAAAGCAGAAGTGGGTCGATTTTCTTTACTTTCCTGAATACACCCCGGGTAACAAGGAATGAAAGATGTCTAGAATCTTAGTTCTTCCTTTCTCTGTTGATCAATACCCTTTCTGAGCCTAGGATTCAGATATTCCTTAGGCTGGCTAGCTACGTCAGCTACTCATTTAATTAGCTAAAAGTTGCCTATTCCACCCATTGCAGATGACAAAGTGTCACATTGCTTACTGGCTTTGCGTTCCTTTGCAAAGACACATTTGCAGTTTTAGATCATGTTACAATGATGGGTAGAGATGAAATTTTGTATGTAAACTTAAAATAGAAAATTTATTCTTTACTGCCATTCCTCTTCCCATTAAAAGAAGAAAAACAAAACTAAAAACAAACAGAAAATGCCTCTATTCAAAAATGATAGACAAACTTTCTTTAGAAAGGGGCTGTGGTGGAATGAAATGGATTTGAATCATCATTTCTCACCCCTGTTGATAGTGGTCCTTTCAAGTCAGAGTTTAGGTAGATTGATGGAGCTGTGTGGGGAAGCTTGAATGCAGTGGGCCCTCCCCCTATGTATCTGGCCTGTATAAACAGAAAATTTTAGTTTCTGTGCTAACAGAGCATTTTCCATGTGTATTTATCAACACTGTTAAATCAACAGTGCACTGAGGAAAAATATTATTTTAGAGTGATCTGCAATTAAAAACATCCATTTACAGGTACTCTCCAGCATGAAAAATTCTTGCATTCAATAAGAGAATAAAATTCAGCATTTTAAAATCATTGTCCATTAAAGATTAGAGCCAGACTTCACAATAAGCATCGGCTCAGTTACTCTTCCTCCAGCAAGTAACTCCATTTTCAGCTTACCTCTTGCATTCAGCACCCTGACTATGTGACTCTGCGATGACATTCCTAGAGCTAACGGTAATCCTGTTATTGCTTTGTCAGAAATGCCACAGAATGATGGCTGCCCTTTGGTGTATGTTTGATTACGGAGCTCTAGGAAAGATATCGCAGCATTACCCCGTTCATCCCATGTCACATCACTCAGGGAGTTCAATCACTGAAGAGTGGTGCTGCAGAAGTGACAGCATCTTTTACAAGAAAATGATAATACTTACTAGCTTTGTGTAAACATTTAATCTATCTATCCAGCCAGGACTCTGAATCCTTTATGCTTTTGGAAGTTTTCATATATGAAATGTTAGCCCCATATGTATGAATAGACTCTTTCACACTTCGAAAGGTAAACTGTACGACAATATATTTCCAGTCAGTATTTGCAACCAGATGAAAAAGATAGGTTGCGATTTGTCAACTCGAGGAGATGTGTCTATGACAAAACCTCATTTTGTAGTTCAGTTCTAACTCTGTTTTGGTAAAATGCAAGCACTAGGAATATTGTCCACCAGCAAGCATCAGACTGCAAACCAGCTGTAAATATATACATGAAGTTTATTCCGATTAAATCTAACTTGCCTTTATATTCATTGTGTAGCCAAATCTAAACGTCATTGGTTTATGTTTCTATTAATAACATTTAAAGTCAAAACCTTTATAAGACAAAATAGGTAGTGATTTTGCCATTAGAATAAGAAAAAAATTACCTTTTCTGCATTTACAGTAAAATCTGAGGCTAAAAGACCACCTTCATTGTGATCATGGCCCACCTCATACATGTTATATGACGGGTTGCCAATTTCTACGTTGATTCCTCCATTTATAATGGGTTGTCTTCTGATAGTTTTTGTCCTATAATGCAGAAACACACACACAAAAAAGAAGCGAGTGACATTTCAAGTAATTTCTTGGATGCTTCATCCTAAAATACTACAAATTTTATTTCATTTCTCTTTAATCACTAAGACCAACAGGATGAAAAAATGTTTCCCACAGAGACAGTCAGATATAGATAGTCTGAGTCTACATGTAGATTTCATATAAGCTGGAAGGATCTTTTTATTATTTTTCTCAGTTTTGTAGTGGCATGAATTAATAGAAAGGGCTCACTCGTTGTCCATATGCCTGACTTCCCCCTACTGTTTCCAGATTTCCCTCACTTCCCAAGGAAAGCCTTGCAAATTCATTGCAGATTCCCTGCAGTAATGAAGATGGAGCGAATATGAGTCATGTTCCCTGCTCATTCATTTAACTTCCATTTGAAATCAGTTGCCCAAAGTCAGTTGTAATCTGAAGACAAGCAAATGGTTTCATTACAACGCATTAAAAATGTATGAAATTCTCAGATTTCCAGTTTGCATTCCCTGTCAGTGGTTATTGGAAAGCTGAAGTTCAACTTTAATTTTTCCAAGTTTTAATAGAAGTTATAGTCTTATTTTTAAACTTGAATTAGGTATCAGTAAAGATACGTGACTGAGTTGAATTGTTTTAGTTACTGAATTAATTTCTTTTAGGTAAGGAGGTGATTTTAGTCTGAGCAATTGAAATAATCTCAAGAGGGTAATTTTTCCCAATGCAATATGTTCTCTAGAATTACAAGGGAATAATAGGGAGCTCATAGACAGGATGATAATAGTCAAGTCCTGCTGTTTGGTTGAGAAAGATACAGTCAATGTCTGAAATCTAATACATTAAAGGATCTGTATTTTTCAGAAAAGGCATAGAAAAAAACATTTCCTAAAATAAGTACTTATCTGTAGCATACAAGTGTTGAACATCTACATCTAATTTAATATTTGACAGTCATCTTTGGAGAGATTAAAAAATCCTAAAATACATTTTTAGATATAATTTTAAGAAAAAAAAAAAAAGTTCTTCATTGAGGTTAGTTCTATTATTCTACTGAAGATCTATTATTTAACAACCTATTCCCAATAACTTGTTCCACTTAAACAATTTACAGACCAGTAACTGGTTTTTGGGATTTGGATATCACTGTATTTGGTCTTTAGGTACAGCAGCAAGCGATGACATCCATGGAGCCTGGCATGGTCAGCATTACTAACAGCATGGTCAGGGAATGTATTCATCCTGTTGGCTTTTCAAAGAAGATTTAAAAAATTAACGCTTACTAGTTAGCACCACAGTTTGCAGGGGGAAGCTATGCATGTTGTCAGATGGTAGTAACTTAAAAGATTCTTTTAATCTATAGGACTGAAATAGTCCAGGTCTCCCCTAGTTGGTCACATTCTTCCTTATTATTTGGAATCTTTCCTTGTTAGATCTGCATTGCTATTAACGTCACTTTCCCTTTTCTCTGGACACAAGAAAGTTAGCAGCTCTCTCAGGTGCCTGCATACAATAGAAACACCCCCATTTCCCCTGCCACCCAACATGGTCTTTGAAGAAATGACCAAAGTCAAAATATCTACTACAGCCTCTAAGTTCATTATCACCTCTAGGGCAGCTACATTGAAGAGAACAAAAGATTCATTGTTCAGTTATGGAATTTGGTTTCCTATACAAGATACTAAAGAAATATATCAATGAGGAGAAGGCTTCAGACTCTACACTACAGTAGATACTGTGAACATTGTTTACATCTTCACTATAACCTATATAAAATTGAAAAGAACTAATTAAAGTAAATAAATTGAAGTGAATTGTAACTAGAAACTGGAAATTCTCAGGCTCTATCTGAAATTATTTATAGATATGAACAATATTAATTATGTGGTCCTGATTAAATACATTAACCTTGTTTATTAAGTTCACTAAGTCTCTGGATAAAATTATTAACACTTGTACAGCTTTGGCAGGATTGAGCAAACTGGATATTATCTAGTGAATGTGGAATATAAGTATAAATAATGTACAAGATCCAGCAAGAACCAAACCATAACTAACTCAGTGCAACCAGAAACAAGTTTTGGGTTGGTTTTTTGTTTGGTTGTTTGTTGTTTGTTTTTTTTTTAAATATCTGCTCTAAATATCTAAAGTGAATTTTTTATATCAAAAAGATACACATAAAGATTTACTTTTTTAACTTCATACATCAATATAAAATTACTTACCTTCGTTTCCTTTTGCAAAGAAATAGTCCAATTACCAGAGTAGTGATCAAAGTCACCAGTAAAACAAGAGGAACAATGATTGCAATGCTTCCTAAAACAGGAAAAGGAAATATTATTGAATACACACAGCTACAGCTAGTAATTTCTTCACAGTTGTAAAACAGTTAAATATTTTTTTAAAAATAAATAAATGCCCTCACCAACAAATGCAATTTCATGTGATGAGCTTCACTGATTGTTGATCAATAAAAAGAAATCATCACAGATATGGTGTGCACACAAACACTTTTATCAACGAGTCACGAGCGTCCTCTTTCTGGATACTAAAACACTTGGGACTAATTCCCTGCCCTCATTTGTGGTGACATCATATGAAGGTATGTGGAAATGCTGAAAAATCTGGATTGGAGTGGCATGGCCACTGACTTTAACTGCCACCATTACCTTCAGTAGTTTATTTAAGTCACACAACTATTAATATATTTAGTAGGCATGGCTCTGATTGAAGAATTCCATTATTTGCATTTATATGTATTTATTACTTCTATTTGTTGGAAAATGAAAACTACTAAGCAATATTCATTTCTAGATGGTTGGTGCATTCCTGTATTTTACTGCATTGTACTCCAGAGCCAACTATTTTGTTATGTTGATACAGGCAATCAAGAAAACTACAGTAACACTTAATGTAGCGGAAAAACAGTGCACAGATCAGATAGTGATGTTAAAGGAGAGGAGGGAACAGGAAAGAAAATGGGCTTAACATTATTTTGGCAGATAACTTCACTGAAATGAGACTACCTGCAAAAATAAGGTCAGCAATTGTACCCTTCTAAGAATTTCTCACGTTCCATGTAAGTATCTGGCAATAAAAAAATACATGCAACAAATAATTTTATGTTATAAAAAACTAGCCCTTATAAACTGCAGGACTCCAGTATAAAGGCAATGTGGAATAAAACACATTTATTCCACACAATGTGGAATAAAACACATTTAAAACACATAAAAACTGGTGGAAAACAAAAATATTGCTGGTTGTTTCATTGGTTACATTTATTGATTTATTTAAAAAAAAAACAAAAAAACAAGAAACTGTTGGCAGTCTCAGCTCTACATTAAACACAGTCTAAATGAAGACTTGAAAAAGATGCCTTGAATTCTGCCTGAAGGCTTACTGAAAGCTAGGGCAGGTTGTCAGAGGCCCAAAATGAAGTACTAAAAACTTGAAGCATCCTGAGTTCACTTCAACTTATGAAGATTCAGCATGTAAATGATTTTACAACAATGCTAATTTAAGATACCATTTAATAAATAACTGGATGAAGTTCTACTTAGGAGGGACAAAAAAGAACAAAAAAAAGAAAAAAAAAAAAAAAGGTTCATGTTTTCTTAACAGGTAAAATTAAAAGAAAAAGCCTGGAAAAGAGCCCACCAGGCATGAGTTGCCATCTGGTAACCACAGTGCAGCCTCAGGTCTAGCAGCAGGCACAAGACAAACACCCATTTCCCAAATTGTAGCAGGTATTCCCTCAACAAGAAACACCAGTCTAGGTTCTGGCTGGTTTTTTTGCCCGTTTCCAGCCTGTAAGTGTTGCTCTTGTCTGGATGACTGGGAAGATTTCATATAAGCATCAAGCTGATCTGAATAGTGGGCAATTCATTCTACTGCTCCAGTTGGGTTAAATGTGACCGAGAGATGTACCGCAGGGTACCATCAGCATACTCAATGCACTGCAGGGAACCTTGTCCAGTTTAAACTGCCAATAGTGTAGCAATGCCATCCTTTTATGCTTACAGATATGTTTAAAAAAAAAAATACAGCAGGAACTATTCAGGATGATTTTCACAGTAGGTAAAATTCAAACCTCTGCAGACAGCCAATGCAAAAGTTATGAACTCCTTACAATTCTATTTTTGATGCTTTCAGTAGGACTTAAATGATGACAGGTCTCATACGAGTTCTCTGCACAGCCTCTTTATACACTTTCTTTAAGAAAAGTGCAGGCTTGAAGCAGTGAGTGTATAACATATGGCTTGTACTTGAACCACCTTATGAAACACTGAATGTCAATCAGAAGGTTGAGAGTGAGCTATTTTTTATTTTATTTTATTTTTTTTT